CAAGTCTTAAAGTCTAATAGTATCTGTGGGGAATCTCCTAGATGCTCATAAGTGTAGGTCAAATCAACCGGGCTGCCCACAAGAGCCACTTTTAGCTCATTATGTAGCCAGCTGAAAGAGGAGTAAGCACAAAAATTTGTAAGGTCTTCCAATATATAGGCAAACTGTATGGCAGTGGTTCCCGAACTTGGCAACTTTAAGACTTGTGGATTTCAACTCCCAGAATTCTCCAGCCAGCAGAGCTGGCTGGAGAATTCTGGGAGTTGAAGTCCACAAGTCTTAAAGTTGCCAAGTGTGGGAACCACTGCTGTATGGGATGAGTTTATTTTTGTACTTTTCTGCCTGATCTACAGAAGTTTTTGAATTCCTTCTAAGCAGCAGAGAATCTAGGAACTCAGGGGAGCACATTTCATAGTTTAGCATTATTCCTCTCCCAAAAGAAAAAACTAAGTACAATGCACAGGCAGAAACAAGTGAACCTTCAGACAGGGGTCCATTCCTTTCGCAACAGGTGATTCTTATACCTGTAACAGCGTTTTATCTTTAAAATGTGCCTATTTGCGTCATCCTGAATTTAAAAAAATAAGCCCCCTTAGTATTTACAGGCTTAAGAGAAAGTTTGTCAGCCCAGCTGCGTCCAATGTAAGCCACCTTCCAGATGTATCTTAGAAGGCAGCTAGTTTGGGAAAACTGTATTGAAGAATATAAAAGAATCTTATAATCCCCATCATATGTGAAAATCTTATGTCAGCCACTGACATACTGGCAAACAAAATTACCTTCCATGCCAGATGCTCTAGTGGAGCTTGAATTGGCTTAAGCAGGAGGTTTGACTAGAAACTTATAGAATTATTTTCAGCTCTGATTCTATTATCATATTTATGTTCAAAATAATAATGATAAAAAGAACATCTGTCCTCTTACAATCTACCCCTTAATCCATGAAAATCAATTTCACTACATGTTAACAAACCTTTTTCTAATTCTTGCATTGAATAGTGGTGCTTCAAAGCGTGGATTGGTGCCAACCAGAAGTAGGAAATCTGCCTCTTCTATTCCTGCGATCTTGGTATTAAGTAAGTAATTAGATCGCAGGTCTGTTCTATAATAGAATGCACAAACAATCATAATAAATATAATTGTGATATAGCGCTTCAGTAGGAATAGCAATAGCAGTAAGACTTCTACCCTCCATAGTGTTTTACAAATGTTTACAAATATCAGCATATTGCCCCCTACAATGTGGGTCCTCATTTTAGCACAGAAGGATGGAAGGCTGAGTCAACCTTGAGCCCCCTCAGGATCAAACACCAGGCTGAGGGCAGAATTAGCCTGCAATACTTCATTCTAACCACTGTGCCACCAGGACTCATATAGCTTTGACACTTAAAAGTAACACTTATGAACTATTATATCTGCACAGTACAAATCTCAATTTTTATTTTATCAGCTAGTAAACAAAAAGAAGCACGTTTACCTATTTCTAGAAAAAAGGTTTTTCAATTTTTATAATATGCTTCCAATTATGAACTATGGATTTAATGCTTGATGTAGACTGTTTAGAAGCCTTTAAGGATAAGGAGTGGAGGAACCTACATGAATTTCATTTACTGCCCAAATTTCTAATCTTGCCAAATTCTCTCAACATATCCCATTACTATTTCTTTTACTGGGATCACTCTAGTTATAATCTCTTACCCAGCTCCCGCAGTAGGGAAAACCTCTTCCGTACACATATTATCAGAGTTGATTCTATTCAGCAAGTCTTTGAGTGATACCAGGGCTTCTGCATCCACTAATCCTCCTGCAATTGCAGCTACTTCGTTACCTTGACTCCCCTGAAGCTGCAGCAGGAAACAAAATGCCATAAAACAATTGTTAGGTCACCACTGTAATTTTTTTTTAAAGAACAATCTTTTTAAAAGGTTATTTTTTCCTAAGATAACTCTGGGAAACAATACAATAGAATAATAGCAGTAGACTTATATACCGCTTCATAGGGCTTTCAGGCCTCTCTAAGCGGTTTACAGAGAGTCAGCATATTGCCCCCAACAATCTGGG